TGGACTATTAATGACTTTCCTGCATATGGTAACTTGTCAGGGTGGAGTACAAAAGGATATTTGGCTTGTCCCAATTGTAATGAGAATGCATCATCACAACGGTTAAGAAGTAAGATAGGATACTCTGGTGCTCGTCGATACTTACCTGAAGACCATCCTTGGCGAAGAAGTAAGCTGTTTAATGGTAAGGCAGATGATCGAGTAAGACCTTCGGAGTTGTCAGGGGAACAAATTTTAAATCAATTGGATTCAGGAACATTTAAACCATTTGGGAAGCATCCAAGCAACCAAAAAAGAAAAAGGGATGAAAATATCGTCCTGAATTGGACAAAGAAAAGCATATTTTTCGAATTGCCTTACTGGAAGACACTCAAGTTACGACATAACCTCGATGTTATGCACATAGAGAAGAACATATGTGATAATTTAATTGGGACTTTGTTGAGCATTGATGGAAAGAACAAGGATACGGAAAAAGCACGCATGGATTTAGAGGATATGAAAATTAGGAAGGATTTGCACTTAAAGAGGCGCACGGATGGGTCCTTTGAAAAGCCCATTGCATTGTTCACATTGTCCCTAAAGGAAAGACAAGGTTTTTGTGAGTTCTTAAAATCGATTAGGTATCCTGATGGGTATGCAGCAAACATCTCTATGTGTGTGAGCACAAAGGGCGGCAAGTTATCCGGTTTGAAAAGCCATGATTGCCATGTCCTTATACAACGACTTCTTCCTATTGGAATGCGTGGGTATCTTAACAAGGACATTTCTATTGCATTGTTTGAGTTGGGAAATTACTTTCAACAGTTATGTTCAAAAACAGTGAGGGTGAATGATTTGGAAAAATTACAAGAGAGCATAGTACTCATACTTTGCAAGCTAGAAAAAATTTTTCCACCTGCATTCTTTGATGTGATGGTTCACTTAGCTATTCACTTGCCTCGCGAAGCCATTCTTGGAGGGCCAGTGCAATATCGATGGATGTACCCTATCGAAAGGTATTTTTATGCTCTTTGATGTGAAATTATATTTTTTTTAATATTATAGTATACCCATATATATGGTTTATATAATAATTTCCTATTATTTGTTGAAGATTACTCGGGATTTTGAAAGGGTATGTAGCAAATCGAGCTCACCCAGAAGGTTCAATTGCAGAAGCTTACATTGTCAAAGAATGCCTAACTTTTTGCTCTATGTATCTTGGTGGGATTGAAACCGTATTTAACAGAGAGGAAAGAAATGAAGATGGTGGTGATGTTGGCTCAAGGCATTCAGTTTTTTCACAAAAAGTCCGTACAATGGTGCTTGAATGAATAATAATGCATAGTCTCTGTCCTTGTTTTTTGGATTGTTTCAATTTGGCTTTTGGCCCTTTTTTCTTCTTAGAAATAGAAATAGTATATGGTTTATTTGCTATAAGAATTGTAAGTACTGACCTTGCACATGTAAGTATTTTGAAGGAAAATCTACTATACATACCAAATAATGAATTCAAGCTATTAATCATAGTCACATAGGGACATAAGACCAAACCATTGTGTAATCAATTCCGGGTTCTGTGGCCGATAAGGCCCTCAATTAAATTTCCAAAGCTGATTATTCAAACAGATATTCCTACGGTGAACAGATAAAACTTCAAAATCACATATATTCACATAATGGCACATAAAATCATGGTAAACACGTAATCATACTCAATTTAAGGACCAATTGGCATACTACGGAACATGGGTATTACATCAAAGCATTTCAAAGTAATGCAATCGGAAGTGAAAATATATTGTTAAGGTCAGAAGAATCATGCTTCAAAGATCTTGAAATTTCCATAGTCTCATGATGCATTGAAAGTCTCGAAGTGAAGCATAGAAGGGCCAACTATTACTAATGGCTCAAAGAAAATAACATTGGCATGCATTGTGGCTAAATCAAATTGGTGATATTTTGCTAAGAATTCACCATTTCAAACACATGCAAAGTAATCCAATTTCGAAACGCACATTAAAATTTGAAACATGTGAAATTATTTTAATTATGTCTTGAAGTTTTATAAACTCTCCAAGCAGGTAGCTATTATGCATTCGAAACTTTTAAAGCTTCTAAAATATGTCGTAAACACCTTTGGAGCAAGGTTTTGGTTCTTTTTAAACAAAAATTGAATCATATTGTATGGTAAAAGAACTTTTGAATGCGTGTCTCCCTTCAAATACATTAATTAATTGCCAAATATGGTCTAAATTGATGTACAACTCTTTATGAATTCGAAGTTTCCCATTCCGAAAGAGTTGCGGTAGGGTAATGGTGGCACCATAAATAAATATTTTATTATTATTATTATTGATAAATTGCAGGACACGTGGCACTCTTTTACTCATTTGGAGGTTTTGAGAAGTTATGAATCATTAAACACATATGAAAAGATGATAGAGAATGTGGAGAATCATGGAGCATGAATTGGAGGTTAAAGGAAATTATGGAGACATAAAGACGAAGTGGAATATCGTGGAGTGTGAAGTATGGGAAATAGAAGAATGTGGTAGTTATTAGGTAGTTTTTTCCTACAAATATTTGCCTATAAATAGCCATTCATAGCTACGATGTAAAGATCCAACTCAAATTAAAGACAATTGATTTTTTTTTTTTGTCATTTATATTTCATGCACTTTATTTTCAACACTTCCTTTTCGAAGCATAGGAGTAGAGGTAATTTTATGCATTTCCTTTTCAAAACATAGGAGTAAATGTAATTAATTGTTACTTTGATTGTTCACTTAATCATCTTGATTGTTCACTCAATCATCTTTCTCCGTCTCACTCCTTCTTATTTTAATTTTTCTTTTATCTATACTTCGTAATTTTGAAGTCCTCTTCATTGAGGTAAAAGAACCATCAACATAATCGCTTGATAATTGGCTTGCATTTAATCTATAAAAAATTTTCAATCCTTACTAACACGCTCACATTTATAATATTTTCTTTTGTTGGAAAAATAAGCCAACGCCACCTCTTTTTTATTGTGTTTAAATCTTAAATTAATGGAGAATCTTTATATTCTACTTCTTTCCTCTTTTTACTTTTTATTTTCTTCATAATTTTTTTTTAATAAGGATAAAAGATAATTATTCAATGATCTATAAGTATCATGTGTCCTAACTAATGACACGGTAAAAAACTTTAAAGGAGAGTTAATACTGACCCAGCTTTTTAAAGTAGTTGAGAGATAACAAATAACTCGCCTAATATACGATAAGCTACTAATAATATTTTGGAGATCGAGAAATGGGGTTCTGAAGACTTGATGTTGGGCTGACCAGTATGACTTGACCATCAATCCAATCATTTACTATTGGGCCTGGTTCATTTAAGCGTTGCAATTTCAATGAAAGGATCTAGCACTACTTCGACCCTAAATCCAAATCAAAGCCCAAATAATTTATGGGCTTTTGAAAATTGGAAGCCTAAAAAAGAGAGGTGGACCATGTAAAATATGAATCCATTAAAAGGACCCAAAACGAATACATATAATAATTTTTTGGATCATGTTATTTTTGTCACAGAATACCAAATGTAAATATCACGTTGGTCCCGTCAGAGCATCTCTCGTGGTTAATACTAAGGACAATATCAAATCAAACTCTGCTACGTTACGATGCCAAAATTTTATAATTTGACAATCATACTTTATTTATTTTTTAAAATTTCACAAAATAACAAATAAAATGCCTTTTGTAACTCTCATTATGAAAGAGATAGAGAAGTGTTTTTAGCATGCATTAGGAATTGTATCATTTGTAATTTTAGATATTAAAGATAAATTGTGGATTGCATTTATAAAAAAAGTGGAGTGAAATAAAAATATTTTACTTTACTAAACCTCTTGTAAGACTATTTGAGAGGGGAGATTTGCACCGGACAATACGGCCGAGCTACAGTAACGCAGGTGTGGGAAACCTCACGGTGCTGAGCTATCTTCTCAGTTGGCGCGGCCCTCCGGCCTATCGTACACGGCCGAGGTAGGTTGGCCGACCAGGTATGGTCTAAGGCCTGGCCAAGCTGTGACTGCTAGACGTTCGGCGATAGGCGCGCGTTAGCACGACACAACCGAGCAAATGGTAGTCCGGAATGAGTCGAGGCCGAGAAGAGAACCAGCACGCTTCACCTTCAGTTAACCTGGAGAGTTTGGACCAGGATGGTGGTCGGCGTACGCCTGACCGGATAGCTCGGAAGCTCGGTTGTGTTCTCTGTGGTTGTGATTTTCTCCAAGGAATAGGCCGGTTTTGGTATGCCGGTCAGGTGTGCCACTTGGGCCAATGGCGTGAGGGAGAGGAAATCTGCTCCAGGCACGCGTCAATACC